CAAGAGTGTACATGCACTGAACAGACCGCCGTCTATTGACCAGAGATGCGCAGCTTAAGATCGAATAACTCAACACAGCTAAACCCAGAATCTGCAGACATCTTACTAATATCACTAGCATGGAAATCCCGTATCTGCTGTTAGGGCAGTTTCGGCATTTTAAGGTCAGAATCCACCCAAATTTAGCGATAATTCTAAAAAACAACAACATTACAAAACTGCGTTTTTTGGCATAAAAAAAAAAGAAAAAAAAACTGTTTTTGAATAAATCGCAAAAGTAGGTGCTGTTGTCAGTCAGAACACGCGAATTAAATTTCAAAAAGCTTATGATCAACAACAAAACCCGGATAGCCACATCGATCGACGAAAAGCCTTTTCGTATTATCGCTTTCAGAAAAGTAGAGGAATAAGCTTTTAAAATATAAAACAATGCTATAGTCGGAATTTTTAACTATCACCTAATTATGAGAAGGTCATCGAAGAGGTCTGAGGACCAGATCATTGACAAGTACGAAAAACTACGTGTTGTGTACAGTGATTTTTCGGTCAGAAGTTGTTGGGCTGAAAGCTATAACATCTTTCTTAGCAAAACTGCGCCTTTCCTGCTTCCATTAACCCGTATCTTCGTTGATTGCCGCTGCCACAGCGATACTGTTCGAGCGTCCGTCAACCAGCCTTGAAGAACGACGTCGATCTTCTTGCAAGCTACTTCCGGGCAAAGCATCGCCAACAAATGGGGCTGGCGAAGTACGCTGAGGCTGAAAAAAGCACAGAGCTTACAATTTTCAGGAGATGCGCATTCAGTTATCTAAACATGCCTAAGGAAATTGTGCTTTGCATGGGCGCATTTGCATTTGCAACAATCGTATTTTAAGATTAAAAGAAAAGGAAAAAAAAATACCGAAACAGAAGCACTGTGAGCGGAAGAATAGATAAACGGTGGTAGCTGTATCTGTGAATGGCCACGTGGTGGTGAGCACGTTCCGCCATCGCCACCGCATCGTACACACACATGCCGCTCTTCGAATAACAACACATTCATTGCCTCCTCATAAATTCGGGCTTCCGGAAATTCCACCTTCGTTTGCTTCTTATCGGTCGCATAGACTATCGAAGTGCAGCACACCTGAAAGATCAATGTCACTCAAAGAAAGACCGAAGAAAACCCTTGAAAGATTGTTAACAGGTGCGAATAAGTCACAAAAATGGCCAAGTAACCACGTTAAACACCACGTTACTACCACCGTTACTTTATGCGCCGCAAGCCAAATCGGCTGGGAAAGCGAGAAAAAAGGGCACACTTTTCTTCTACGTAATCTGCGACAGTAACAAATATATGCCAAAAAACAACTAACTTCAGCTTTTTTCCTTCCCTGTCCGTAGAACGTCCACTGGCATACTTCCGCATTTTCCGCTCCAATATCTAAACAAATCAATTTTTATTGGGACAAATCTGTGCCTTATAATTTTTGCTCAGCAAACGATGGATATGTCTATACCTTTTACAAAGAGGACTCGATCATTAAATCGCGTTACCAGGCGATCGAACAACTCCAGGTTCTTCATCAAATTATCGTCCGACTGAGAGGTATAGGAATATTTGTTGTTATGTCGATTGATTAGGAGCTTTATTACCGGCTGAAAGAAAAAATTAACGGGAATATGAGCAAACGAAAACTTCCCTCACAGCAACGCGAACAGGAAAAATGAGCCGGCATTTTTTGATCAAAATCTTAGACATCTTATTAACTGGCTGATTCAGGTCCATAAAATAAGCAAGCCATATCCTTTCTAAAGAATTCTGAATGCATCGATTTCTGTCTTTTCTAATGGAAGTACTAACCCGTAGAAGAGCTATTTTTTTCGCGCAAAATGACTGCTGCCCCACCAAAAATAACCAAAACTCAATTTCGCCTAAGCGCAGGGTAAATTTCAAGTTCAAACAAAGGCTTTCAAAGGCATCTAGAAGGAAAAACCGCATGTCGATATCGCATTAGTGTCCAAGCAAGCAAATGCAAATTCAGAGGAAAAGAATGAAAATTGCTGAAGCTTAAAGCCTAAAATGAAGTCAGCACAGCAAAAATTTTCCGCCTACTCTTACTTCTCTCCCACAATACCCAGTGTTAACGTAACCCAAAAGAAATCGCGATAACTTCAATACACTTCGATCTGTTTACCTTAGTAGTACTAGTGACAATGCGATCACAATCTTTCTTCGTACAAACAAGTGGTACTTTACATATGCCAGCAGGCTCCACGTCTTTCTTTTCCATCACTTTCAGCCAATTTTGACACTGCTGAACAAGTTCCTGTAAAAAAAAAAAATTTAATTAATAGAATGGAAGAAAATGCTAGTTCCAGAGAGACTTGAGCGAGAGATATGTGCGTGGCATAAACTCAACAGGCATATAAAACTAAAAAGATCGTATGGGCGAAATATTTCAAATTTAAAGGCCAACGAACAAATTCCACGGATTCGTGTAAAAGCGCGCAACATCAGCCAAAGAATCCAAGCAAGTATGTAAAACCGGATAAGACATCTAGAATTTGAGACAAATCAAGTTCATTTAACAAGACAGATGGAATAATTGGCCAACGCACGGGCTGCCCGTGCGAAGATGCGTTTTTTGCATAGTTTCCCGCAATTTTTGTTGCTACCGGCACCGGTTTTTTTGGCAAATGCTTCTGGCTAAACAAATTACGACTGGCCGCCAGAAGTGTCAGAAAACACCCCCTTAAAACTTCAGCTTTCTAGCTTCCCTGACTCCTGAGTTAGTAACTTACTGGAAAAAAACTTTCTCGGGACCGTGCGTGTTTACCACGCATACCCGAGAGCTGGGTTGCAGCTGAATGAAACTTAGGTAGACGAGGTATATCCTCTTAAAATTACAGTCCTTTAGCTTCTCAGGTACTCGAGTTATCAACTTACCCGAAAAAGTTTTGGCGGGCCGTAAGAGGGTACCACGCGGGTAATGGGACCCATTTTGAGGATTGGGGCCCATAGATGCATGTAGATTAAGTTCCCAAAGTTTCAGCCCTTAGCTTTTGTAGGTCTTGAGCTGAAAAACCGTGACAGACGCACAGACGGGCACACAGACACACAAACAAAGACAGCCCCTCGTCAATATGCGTTTTCTGCATTGCATAGCTGCAAAAAACGCATAATAAAGCCCTCCTATTCCATACATACAGAGATAAATCGCCAAACAAATTACAAATAAGTTAAAATTATACTCCTTTTCAACAAACCGCTTACTTTGCTCAAAGATTCATATAAAAAGATGACAGTTGCCCGAGTTTTCGCACTTTCTTTTCCACCTATTCAAGGACTTGCGAATCTGCTCAAGCCTAGACAAGAATGTGGTAATTATTCGGCTTGTAGGGGCCTAATATACTACAGGATGAACTGTACGGGAGGGTTTTACGGTGTATTTTAAGAAGCAAAAGCGAGTATTTACCTGAATAAGATAATATTTAGCTTCGGCTAGGATTTCGGCCGTTTCGGCGCGACATTCCGGCAACGGCACGTAACCATCACGTAAAAAATTCAAAATTGTCCCAAAGTGTTTTCCGCTGCGATCAATCAACACCCAACCATCATCGTCCGTTAGCACCTGTAGGTAAAAAACCATAAAAAAATGGATCCACGGGAAGCATTCGAATAGAAAAGACACAAAAAAAACTTTGGAAATGTGTTTTTTGCTACAAGAAATTTCCAAGCATATGACGTTGTACCTCCCTGGAGATCGCATCGCTCACAGAAATGAGAAGTTCGTCAGTTACCACTCAAACGGTTTAGAAAATTCGACTAAAGAACGAACAAGTTTAAGTAAAACCAACGAAGACTGTACCGGACACAGTGTCTGGAACCCTCGCGCTACACTAAAGCCGCACTGACAGAAATTCCCCGTAAATATCGCAATACGCTATGGCGATGTTTGACTTATGCTGTCATATAGCGTAACACTCAGGATATTGCGAATACGT